ACACTTCTCAGAGTCTCTGTGCTTCCCAGACTGTGACCTGGATCTTTTTGAGGGCACAATCCAGCTACGTGAAAGCCGCCTGGAGCTGGAGGAATTGCTGGCAGAAGAGAGAAAGAACGCAGAGTTCCTCAGAAAGGAGTGTGACTCCCTTGCCAAGAAGGTGACCACAGTTTAGGAGGGGGTGTAGGGGGAAGTCCATGTCAAATTGATAGCAGCTTTTCTCCAAGTGACCACTCTGCCTTGCAGGAGGGAGTTGTTCTGAGCAGCCTCAGGGCAGTAGAGGGCGACATAGAGCTGCTCAACCGAGAGAAACAGCAGAAAGTGAACCAGTTAGACGTAGTGGTTCCTCTCAGACTGAATCAAGTAAGGGAGTGCGTGTGTGTGTGTGTGTGTGTGTGTGTGTGGGGTCATATAATTGTTATTTTATTAGGTATTTTTTCAGTCCCCACAAGGGGAAATTCAGGGGGGGAAATTATAAAAATCAACTACTTATGGTTAAGTTAGGGCTGGGTAGGGCCTAAGGTTATCATAATACGATTATGGTTATGCCCATTGAAATGAATGGAGAGTCCCCACAATGACAGGAATTTATAAGCTGTGTCTGTCTGGGTGTCTGTGTCTATATTCTTTCTGACTGTGTCAGTTCTTTGTTTTAAACTTGACTGCCCCCCCTCACCCCAGATTGAGTTCCTCCATAAAGGATTGATTCCTACCAAACTCACTCAAGCACTGGTTCTGAACATATCAGCTCTGGCGGGCCTTCAGGAGCGAATCATCCAGCTGCAGGTAGAGCAGAGCCACCAGAAGGCGCTTTACCAAAAGGCCCGGAAGCAACACGTGCAGCTGAATCACGACTGCAAACAAATGGAGGCCAGGATACAAGGTGTGCCGTCGATCTGTGCATGACCATGCATGTGCAGGTTTCTGTGTGTGTGTGTGCATGTGCAGTACCGCATGTCCGCCTTTCCACAGAGCTGCAGCTCCAATGCGAGCAGCTGATGCAGAAGAAGTTCGGCCGTCCAGTGGACCTGGAGGTGCTGCAGACTCTGTGCAGGAGCCGGATCCTGGAGGAAATGTGGCAGGAGCGGAGCGCCAATGGGGCAGCCAGCGCCCAGGAGATGCAGCTGTGGCAGGCAAGGCCCCCATCCACCCCTGAGCATGCGTGATTCCCCTGCCAGCCAGCTGTGCCCATGCATGTTTGTCTACCCATGCATGCTTTGGAATAGGAGGAGGTGGCAAGGTGCAAGCGGGCTGTGATGGAGATGACGAGGCAGCACACAGAGGCTCTATGGGCCATGAGCAACCTGCTGGCTCAGAAGAAAGAGCTAGAAAACAGGCTGGACACGAGGCAAGGCAAAATGGTACCTGCAGCTAGCGTATGCGCATGCCTGGGCGTGTTTGCAGAAACTTGTGATGATGCATGCGTGTATATGTTTGCAGAGATGTGATTATGCATGTGTGTGCAATGTTTGCCAGCACATGTGATGATGCATGGTCCATGTTTGCAGAAACACATGATGATGCAAGTGTGCTCATGTTTGCAAACATGTATGAGATGATACACACCTGTGCGTTTGCAGATACCTGTGTGGATGCATATGTATGCATGTTTGAAAAGGCACGTGTGATGCGTTTTCCCTGTCTAACTCACAGGGAGCTCAGTTCCAGAAGTTGGGGCGGGTGGTGGACAGGGACATATCAGGGATCCAGCAGCTGCTGCAGCGTCAAGCATGTGAGATACAGGTCCTACAAGTGGAGATCTGCGCTCTGCTACGCAAGGGAGGCCACCCCCCCTGCCCCCCACCACCCACCACCCCACTCTGATGGGCAAAGTGTGCACCTACACACCTGTGTAACACAGCTATCAAACTCTTACATGTGACATATGTAGCTGAGAAATAAACATGTTTTTGTCTGACTGTTGTGATATCCTCCGGGTGTGCTGCTTTTGCTGGTGGCCTTGGACATGAGCGTGAAACTGAGCATTTGCAGTTTTGGAGATGCAGTGGGCTGTTGGTGCGTTGTGAGTATTTCACAGTACTGGAGGCAGCAGACAGGGGGCACCCTGTAAGGCCCGTCCTGCTGTTTTGGGGTGAATAAGGGGGCAGGATCACCTTACGGTTCACTCTAACGGAGGCACGCGTGTCACATCATCACAGCATGTCAATCCACAGACCGCCTTTCTCTATCCTGCCAATTCGTCATGCAAAGCCGGCTCTGACAGCCAGAAAAATGACTCTCTGCAGGGGAGGGGAGGGAAGAGAGTCGTGCTGCCCCCCATAGGGATGGGATGGTCACAGTCTACCCCCCAGCCTGCGATACAAGTAAGAGCCTTGACCAGTGGTTTTCTGAAGGTCTATTTGCTATCTACTGAAATTTTTGCGAAGTGGCATCAAAATAAGCATTAATGTCCACCTGTCACGTCCGGGCTAGCGAACTGGCGGTCAAGCAGGCAAGCGGAGCCGTGGATCGGGATTGACGGGGTTTATTCGACGAACAGGCAGGGAAATCGAGGCTGGACATCGAACAGGACATTACATCACAATGACAAATCTGACAAGACTGACTGAGACTAGGCAAAAGGAATAGGGAACAGGTGACAACAGGTGACACCACCCAATATCATTTTCATTTTTCTTACACATCCAATATACAAATATTTGTAATACAAGACAAAAGTCAGTCATCATGAAAATGCTGTATCACCTTGCATCACACTGATAAGAAATGGTGAGCAAACTCAGCTTTCATTATCTGTGACCATCACTGCTCATGCAGCTTGAACTATTGGCAGTAAAACACTTCAAACCAAAAAGCAGCTTAAGTGAGACCGTGCACTGATTCCTGTAACTCTCCAGGGTCCATTAAATATTCCGTTATGCATTTTCTGTGTCCACCCCGCTGAGGCATCAGTCCACAGTTCCACCCATATTCCAGAAAGCTCCATATCCAATAAGAAGCTCCTTCAAAATGACAGCAGCCCCCATTAGAATGGAGAACAATAATTCTAGCATGTAAGTGTGGTTTACTAATGGCTGGGGGGTCTCCATAGGTAATTTTGGGCTTATTGGTACTGAGCCCCTTCCTAACGTGTACACAAAGAGGGGCACTGGAAGACCTTCTGGAACAGGTGGGACCTGTTCAAGCCGGACGGGCTGCATCTGAACCATAGGGGAACCAGTGTATTGGGGAGGTGTATGTGCAGAATAGTTGAGGAATGTTTAAACTAGGGACTGGGGGGGCAGGGAGGTCAGTTAAAAATTTATGTTGGGAGAGACGGAAAGCCCAAATAAATATTAAAAGTAGACACTGTAAAAGGCCTACCATTAGTGGTCTGTATTTGAATGCTAGGAGTATTACAAACAAAATTAATGACTTAGTGTTATGCTGGGACGACGCACGGAGCGTTGAAAAAGCGTAGGAAGCCAAAAGTCGGGGCAGAAACGGGGTTTTAATAGGAACAGTGACAACGGAGCACGCAAACACGGAATAACATTACAATGACCGGACTGGGGAAACAAACTGAAACGCGGACTAAATACATTGCACTAATGACAGTAACCAGAAACAGCTGATAAACACGGGGAATCCACATGAGGTTAACAAGGGGGCGTGGCACATTGGAGGAGCGAACGATCGGGGAATGACAGGACCCCCCCCCAAAGGCGCACACTCCGGGCGCGCCTAAGGGGAACAGAGAGCGACGGGGACTGGGGACACGACGGTACCTGGGAAGACAAAAACAACAACAACCTCAACGGGGCACAGGGAACAGTATGGATACACAGAACTGGCACAAGGTGGACAACTCAAACAATAAACCACAAATCACGGGGAACGCAGACAAACACAAAAACACCAATGACGGAAACATGGGACCCGAGGACACTAAAGGGGACGATTGAGGGACCACACCAGGGGGCACACAGGGACGAACAGGGGGCAGGGGCACAAATGGACGAGAAGGACACACAAAGGAACCGAAAGGGGACAAAGGCACAGAAGGGCGAGGAGAACATGTGGGGGCCACAAAGGGACTAGAAGACACAGAAGAACGAGGGGGAACCACAGGGGGCACAAAGGGACCAACCAAAGACGAAGGCACTGAGGGATGAAGGGGAAACATGGAGGGCCCGAAGGGACCAGAGGGGAACAACGGCACGGAAGGACGAGAAGCAAACATGGAGGGCACAAAGGAACC